CCGGACATGTCCGGCTTTTTGGGATTTCCCCCCGGACGGGAATTTGGAAAATCCGGACGTATGGTAACCCTACCACAGGGTGCATTCCCCCTCTCCTCCAGCCCTCTGGCTTCGAGGCAGTGGGGCGAGCAAGGCCCTCCTGAGAGCTACCAAGCGAACATGGGCTGAGCCCACCCCCGCTGCTCTGCAGCCTGGGCCCAGCCCAGCGCTGCCCTGCAGGCATTTGCCCAGGGCAATGTATGTGCAAACGGAGCCCGTCTCTCTGACTCCCCGTGTGCCCGGCTTTGCACTGAGGGAGCCCCTGGCTGGGTCAGGAGGGCCCAGGGATCCCGGTTGGCCTGGCACTGACGTGCTCTCCAGGCAGGAGAGAACTCGCAGTAGTTCTGCCCCCGGTGGCTGCGTGGTCGGAGGGGGGTCTCAGCACTGCCCCCAGGCTGCAGAACAGGCTCAGTCCAGCTGGTGAGACAGAGGTGCTGGGGGATCCTGTATCTGGCTGAGCTGGGGTTTCAGGCGGGCACTGCCCTGCAGGGGGCGCTGGGCAGCTAAGGGGCTCGTCCTGGGTGCTGGGGTTTGGATTGTAACCTCTCCCCCTCTCTCCCCTGTCGGTGCTGTGGGGTGGCCTGAGCAGAAGAAGATCATGATCATTATCTGCTGCGTGGTCCTGGGCATCGTCATCGCCTCCACCTTCGGCGGCATTTTCGGATAGACCTTGCCAAGGCGAAACTTTCTCTGTAGACAATGGGATGGAGCTGCCGAGCTGCCAGGCCCAGCCGTGCCCGAGGGGGACCAAGCCCTGCAGCCGCCAGGGAGGGGCCTTCCCAGCAGAATTTCAGTTTCTAATGCATGATCGTTTTGTAACACTGTGTGTACGGTGCGGTGCGTCTGTGTGGCAAGGGGGCAGGCGGCCAGTGTGGGGGGCTGGGACATGGGGGGAGCTGGGCCCGATGGAGGGCAGAGCACGCATGCAGCACTGAGCCTAAAGCAAGGCAGCCAGCTGGCGCAGTGGGGGGAGGAGGGAGGCAGGCTGCCCTCATGTAGTGAGTCTCCTAGCACGGTGCCAGGTGCAGGACAGCAGGGCATGCCAATGGCACTGGGCGAGGGAGAGCAAGGGGCAGTGCTGTGTCCCCCCACAGAGCAGAGAGCCAGCCAGTCCCCACCCAGCTTTGTAGCCTGGCACTGCCAGTGGGTGTTCACTGGCAGTCATAGCTCCTTCTGCATCTGCTCTGCCAGGGCATTACTGACAAAGTGCCACACCCCTCTGCCTACTCCCTGCAGTGCCCCCCTCCCTAGGGTACGCCTGGCCTGCATCTACCCCCTGCTGCTCCCTGCAGTGCCCCCCTCCCTAGGGTACGCCTGGCCTGCACCTACCCCCTGCTGCTCCCTGCAGTGCCCCCCTCCTCCAGCCATATCTGACACTGCACCCACCCCCGCTGCTCCCAGCAGTGTCCTCATCCCCAGGGCACATCTGGCACTGCACCTACCCCTCTGCAGCTCCCTGCAGTGCCTTCCTCCGCCATACGTGGCACTGCACCCACACTGCTGCTTCCCGCAGTGCCACCCCTCCCCTCCCCCCCCCGGAGCATTGCAGACAAAGCACCACACACCCCACCTGCTCCCCACAGTGCCTCCCTTCCCTGGCCATACCTGGCACGGCTTCCACCCCATTGCTTCCCACAGTGCCCCCATCCCCAGGGCACGCCTGGCACTGCACCTATCCCTCTGCTGCTTCCCACAGTGCTCCCCCTCCCCAGAGCATTGCTGATAAAGTGTCACACACACCCCGCCTGTTCCCCACAGTGCTCCCTCCCCCGGCCATACCTGCCACTGCACCCACCCCTGCCTGCTCGCTGCAGTGCCCACCTCCGCTGGCCCTGACCTCCCCTCTCTGGCTGGTTGGTGCAAGGCCCAGTCCCTGGTGCTGCCCCTTCCCCTCCCCTCTGGCTGGCTGCAGGGGGCTTATTTCCCTTTGCTGCTGCCCTGCTGTGGCTGGAGGGTGTTTTCCGCAAGGCTGGGCCTATGTTGCAGCCATTACTGTGTGGTTGGCTGGGCCCAGTTCCATGGGGGCAGGGCGGGGGGGTTGTCGGGGTAGGACGGCATGTGCTCTGCTGCACTGCCCCCCTGGCGAGCACTACGACCCTTCTGTGCTGATGCTTACCACAGAATCAGTGCTCCCTGGGCTGCTCCATGCCCGCTTGGCCTTGGGGAGATGGGCAGCGCCAATCAGGCAGATGGCAAGGAGCTTGGTGGCCACTGCATGGCCTGGAGCCACCTCTGGGGCTGGGCAGGAAGCGGCTGACTTGCCTGTGCCACCCACCTGTGCCCAAGGGGATGAGGCCAGAGCAGAGGCTCAGGCTGTCCTGGGTGTGGGTCACTGGGCAGCCCTTCCAGTGCTGGGGCTCCTGCAGGCAGCTCTCGGCCCTGCCCCTAGCCCCCATCATCTGCCCCCACACCCACTGTGGTAAGGGGCACCAGGGCCCTGCACTGCCTTTTGGCTGCATTCAGCCCTCTTAGGCTGGCACCTGGGGGTGGAGAGGTGACCGACTGCTTGGTGCTGCCCCGGGGAGGGATCCCACTGCGGCCTGGCTGCTCTTTCCTGTCCCCCTCCCCGCTGGGCATGGCACTCTGAGCCCCACTCTCTGGGCCACGCGGGGCTCAGGCCTGGCCCCCATCACCCCTCCCCTGCGACAGGCCTGGGCTCTGTGCCCCAACCCTGCTGTGTCTGGCCAGTTGGGGAAGGGTGCAGGCTGCACATGGGAGCCCTGCAGTCGCCCCTGCCCCCAGGCTGAGGGCCCCACGGAGCAGCAGGCTCCTGAACTGCCAGTGGGCTGCTACCGTTCAGTGTTGTAAGCTCCGTCTCTTCCAGCTCCCTAAGGGAGAGTGTTGCAGGGCTGGCTCTGTCCCTCCCCTAGCCAGGAGCACCCCCCTCACCTCAGCTGTAATGCAAGAGCCATGCCAGCCCCCTGGCCTTCCTCGAGGGGTGCCCCAACCTCGCCCCCAGCTCATCAGCACTGAGTGCTCAAGGGACCATTTCACCAAGCCACTGCTGGCTTCAGGGGGCCACATCCCCCCGCCCCGCCCCAAGGGCTGCAGCGAACGTGTGAGTGGTGGCAGCCTGCAAACCTGCTGGAGGGAGCCTCCAGCGAGAGCCTGGCCCTCTGACCCTTCCCAGCCCTGCAGCTCTGTGTGCCCGGAGACACCTGAGAGCAAGAGCCCAGCTGGGCTCGCCTGCCTGGGGTGGGGCTGAGCCAAGGCCCTGCCTGGATCCCCGCAGCGTGTGGGGAGGGGCTTGCCCTGTGCGTGGCAGGCGAGGGCTTTAACTGGAGTTGGTCAGCCTATGCCAGTGCCAGATGGTCCGTCCCCAGGCTGGGGGGGCAGGCAGGGGAGCCGGGCCCCAAAGACACCAGTCAGTATCTAGCATCAAGGCCTGACCTGCAACGGAGTCACCACGGCAGCTGTGGGGCTCTGAGGGTCCGTCCGTCCCTGCCCCACCCGGCCCACGTTTGGCTTCAGTCCTGCAATGCCATCACCAGAGCACCTGCTCCCTGGGAGACAGCCAGGCAGGGGCTATGCTGGCACCTCCTGGCCCCAAGGGCAGAGGGGAGCAAAGGGAGCGCACCCCATTGAACTAGCACAACACCCCTTGAAAGCCAAATCCCCAGTGACTGCCTGAGGCTGTGCTGCGACTAGTGGCAGGGGTGGCCAGGGGGAAGGCTGCACAGGTGGGTTCTGTCATGCCAGTGTCTGTCATGCCCAGCTGTGCAGCTGACCCGGGTCCGGCCTGGGTGCTGTGCTGCTGGGACTGTGGGGTCAGGGGTTGTGCTGCACACGGCAAGCGCAGGGGCTGTGACCAGCTGCCTGCGAGCTGAGACTCATACCCCCACTCCCAGCACTGCTGGGAGGGGCTGGCCCTTAGCACCCTGGGGAAGGGAGCCGAGGGGCTGTAGCTGGAGGGTGACCAGCCCTAGCAGACAGGGCTCACATGATACCTTGAGGTCGGCAGGTGGCTTTCAGGAGGTGGCCAGCTGAGCTGTATCCCACCAGGCTGAATGGAGACTGGGCTGACCCAGGCCTGCTGGGCACCATGTGCTGGGGCACAGTGGGACACTGGCCACCCAGCCTCCGCCTTGGTGTGGTAACACCTGTGCTGCAGTATTTAGTCCCCATCCCCCTCCATAGGCCCCAACCTGCTGAGTTGGCCTAAATGAGCGTCCCCACCTTGCACCACCAGTACTGAAGGCCCTGCAAAGCACCTGCAATTCCCAGGGTGCCAGGCACAGCATGGGTATCAGGGTAGAGCTGGCTGCTGCCACATGAGGCGTAAACTCCAGCCCCCTCCCCCAGCAGCCCCGGGGCCACTGGGAGAGAAAAGCAGCATGTGTTTGGTTTTGGCTGGTGCTTGGCCAAGCTGCTGCTGGTGCCTCCAGCCGTGGCAGGGCAGGCCGAAGATAGCGCTAGAACAGCTGGGTTGGGCGCGGCTCCCTCCAGATAACCAGCCTCTGGCATTGCGCAGCTTGAGTCCCACATGGGTTCTGGGCCTAACCCTTGTGTAGTTCTGAGCTGCTAGCAGCTACGTCACAGCAAGCTTGAGAAATGGGCAGGGTCAAGGGTCATCCTCCCCCTGGCCCTGGCCGCCCTGCTGGGGGAGAAGGGCTGCACGGTCACACGCTGCCTTTGGACACATCCAGCCAGTGGCAGCTGCTCCTGGGCTAGGCTGGGGCCTGGATTCTAGAATGCACCAGCGCATCTGCCCCCCTAGCAGAGAGATTGAATACGATGCTGCTGTGCTCTGCCTCATGCAAAGCCTGGCCCACGCGACCGCCAGGGAAGGGCTCCTGCCGTAGGCAAGCAATAACGGGCTGCCAGCGACCGCGCTTGGTGAGCAAGGACTGGTGGTCGCCCCTCAAACAATGCAGCTGCTGTGGAGGCTGACCAGCTATTTCTTCCTAAACACCCCTTGCGGAGGCAGAAGGCTCCACAGCCTTTAGTAGCAGGGCTAGAACAGCGGCCGGGGTGAGCCAGACAGCCCTGCCCCCATCCTCAGGTGCAGGGGCTGCATTAGACCCCGCTGCAGGGAGACTCTGCACTCAGCACACCACCCTGCTGCCAGAACAGCTGAGCATGCGGGGGGGGGGGGGGCAGTGAGGAAACCAGCAATACGAAGGGGGCAGGTGAAATTGGGGACACAGCAATACAGCAAGTGGGCTTCTACCCAGCTAGGGCTCCCCTCCCAGCAGCTGCTCCGTGAGGGGCTGACATAACCACCAACCAGTGGGGCTGAGAAGCCTACAGCAGGCACAGCTAAGGGCATTCTCTAGGGGATAGGGGAGGGAAGGGGGGTTGGTGCAATAGTGCAATCCCTGCACCTCGGGGAGCCCTGGCCTGTCCCACGAGGGGATGCGATTAGCCATGCTGGGTTTGGGCGTGGGGAAGATATTTTAATTTTCCGTTACAACCATCTTTTCTCAAGAAGCATCTGTCCTATGTGCCCCTAGGCCTCCCAGCGCCAGGGGCTTGACACAGTATTTCAGGAGCAAGGGAGGGGAGGGGGTACATGCAGCTTTCACTCATACTGGGGATTTGTTTTTTAATTAGTGTACTTGAAAGAGTTCAGAGCAACCCCTTGGTTGTAACGTCGCTGTACCGTGAGCTAAGTGTCCTTGTTTTCTATGTGGATCTTGAACCTGACTTGCTCTGTTCCCATGGTTAAAACAAGATTGTACGTTGCCTCCTGTCTACATCCAGCTCCCATCCCACCCCCAGCTCGCTCGCCGCCCCCAGCTTTGGGTGCATCACAGCTTCCCATTTGGTGGAATTTTTATGTAGAATAAACATTTGTAGCCGTAAACCCAGCAGTGGGCTCCTCGCTCTGTTGCGGCTGAGGGGAGGGACAAAGAGAGGGCACCTCCATTGGCTGGCTGGGCCTGGCCGTGCTGCAGCCAGGAACAGAATTGTTCCTCCAAGGGCCTGTTGAAGCCCTCAGCTAAAGGAGGAATAGGCCTCTGTGGGGTAGGCAGCATACAGCAGCCCCCCACCTCCAGCTGCCAACCCGAGTGCTGCGGAAGTGCTTACTCTGGTCCACTGGTGGGTTTTCTCAGTGCTCACTGAGCATACGCCACACAAGCGGAGTACGTAACCCTGCAGCAGCCAAGCAGAGGGCACAGCACTGTGCAAATACTCCTGTGAACGTGGGAGGAGCAGCGGAGACCAGCACTAGGTCCATCAGCCCTTGCTGTGTACAGAACCACGCCTGGAAAGATGACAGCTCTGCAGTACTCGTAACCAAGGGCCTATTTACTGAGTAGGCTGGAAGCTCAGCAGGAAAGGTCCCATCACCCAGGGCACTTTGCACCCAGCAGGCTGCCCAGCAGCATTTCTGACCCCCCTCCATTTGGCTCTCATAACAGATGGCTAAAGAAAGGGGGTCTGCAAGTGGCTGGCTCAGTGTCAGCACCCAGCACATAAAAATAGATGCAGTGAGTCTGTTCCTGACCGGCATCATCCCATTAAATACGACCAGAAGCATCAAATGGGATCCTGGACAGCAGCAGAGATGGCCCAGCCTCCCGCTGCAAGGGCCACAAACAGACCCGCTCCATACAAGCAGCTTTCAGACCAGGGGGTCCATCCAGGGAAGTTCCACCAGGGGCTGTTGCATGGCGACCATCGAGCTGGAATATGCGGGGTGGTCAGAAGCGAGGCCGCCGCTTTCGGCCAGTGTATCTCGTATCCGCCCTCACTTCCCTGCAGAGCACAGAACAGATCACGCTGTAGGGAGGGATGTGGGCTATAAGCGAATCAGGCCACAGAGCTGGAAGGGCCAGAGCCTCCACCAGGAGAGGGGTCAGCAGAAGCATTAGAACAGGCTTGCAGCAGGACAAAAGGGCTGTGGCCATGCTGCCCAAAGGCAGGTAATGGCTACAGTGAAACTGAATTGCTGATGTCCTTGTTACCATGCCCTGAAACAATGGTGGTAGCCACTGTCTGCATGGGAGATAGAGGCGGCCGGGTTACAGCCCATACAATGCCCGCTACTTGCTCCCTCCCACCCATGGGAACCCGAGCAAAGGGAGGCACCATGGTACGTACTTGCCCTGCCGCCGTCTGCGTTCCTTCTTCTCCGAGACCCAGTCCCGGCTTTTCTTTACAGACTTGCCTTTGGCATTTCTGAACCGTGTTCTACAGAGAAACAGAAATGATGGCGCTGATGGGGGTCCACGCAACTAGGATCAGTCACTCCGCTGCCTCTGGAGGGCTCTGGGATTCAGTTCCTAGCACAGGACAGCTCTTGTTCCCATGTGTCAGGGCAGTGAGCACTGGCCAGTTATCCCCAGCCCCTCTCAGGCCAGCCAGGACAATGACAGTCCAGGTGTGGGGGAGGCTGGAAGCTACGGCAGCGAGCAGCGGCATGGGCAAGCAGCACTGGCCGAAGCAGGATGCAGATGCAGGCAAGGAAAATGGTGACAAGTCCTCAGTCAAGGCAACCCCTGCCTCCAGCAGCGGGGCAGGACTGAGTGCTTTCCCCACGTGCTCTGCGGGAGCACAGACAGGCAGGCCATCAGCACCACCGGGGGTAGAATACTCCACAAAAAAGCAGTTAGCCGTCACCTCAGCTCAGAGAGGAATGCACCTGGGTGGGGACTGCGCATCCCAGCATGCAGGGCACTATCAGACTCTAGTCTGACAGCCAATTGGGAACCAGGGGTCTCCATGGACATAACCCCTGATTATAGAGGAAGGCAGCTGCAATCTGGGTTTTTTTTAAGCAAGTTGCCAGGACGCTGCCTCGGTAATTAGGAGCCATAAGCTGGGTACTGTTAAGGAGTGGAACAGTGTCAGAGGCAGGAAAACATGGCAGCCAACAGCTCCTGGCAACCACGACGACTATCCTCTGGCTGGTGCTCTCAGTCTCTCCTACCGGCTGCAAGGGGAGCTTTGCCCTGCACCACCACCTAGGGAGGAGACATGCCAACAGCAGAGAAATGCACCATACCCAGAAAGCCCGGCATCACAAGAGACACGGCCAAAGAGCTGAGAAGGAAGGGAATTTAGGGCTACACAGGATAACTTATTGGCACAATTATACCAGTATGACTGCCCATGTGGACATTGTTATGCCAGTGAATGTCCCCATGCAGACAAGCCCTGGGCTGGCCGGCCTGAACAGTTACCACGCTCTGAACTCCAAGAACACTGGGGAGAAAGGACATCTTAAAAATCCAACAGCCCCACTCCACTTCATGCCCAAACGCTCATGACTCAGCCCCACCCCAGAGTTCTCCAGCCAAGATCAGGCTGGATGTTCTAAGGTATAAACAAGCAGAACAGACTCCTTTGGGCCATCTTATATGCCATAAAGTAGCTAAATCTTCTGCTACTCCACAGTGGCCTAAACCATGCCAGCCCTGAGCTGGCTGACTGGAAACGTCTGGATATACCTATCTCATAGAACTGGAAGGGACCCTGAAAGGTCATTGAGTCCAGCCCCCTGCCTTCACTAGCAGGACCAAGTACTGATTTTCCCCCAGATCCCCCAAGTGGCCCCCTCAAGGACTGAACTCACAACCCTGGGTTTAGCAGATCAATACTCAAACCACTGAGCTATCCCTCCCTCCCTCCCCCCAGGCCAAGGCAATCTTGAAACTGAGCACCCAGAGCTAGAGCCCTCCCACCGCAGGGTCCTGGCCCTCCAGCTCCCTGACTCCACAGGCCAGCGTCAGTGACACCCCCATCCCCACTAGCCAGGCCCCCAGAGGCAGTCTCTCTCCTAGGGAGGACCTTGGTGAACATGGTACCTTTCATTGATGAACTTGGCCTGCTGGGACTCCTCTCCATCAGCGCACTCAGCACCAAGGGCCTGGAAGCACAAAGCGATGGGCCTCAGTGCCACAAAGCGCAGCACCAGCCACCACTCCCGGACAGAAGGGGAAGGGGGGCTCTGCAAGAGCGAGGACTGGAACGAGGCCCAACTCAGCAAGTCTCAGGGACAGGCTGTGCCATAGGGAAGGAGCAAACTGATCTTCCAGTGCTTGAGGCAAAACCAGGCCGGCTCAATGGAAGGTCTGGGACAGGATGAGCCAAGGCTAGGCAAGTGAGCAAGGCAATTCTGGTAATAAGGACACAGGGTTAGGCCCCCCTCTCCCATAGTGCTTCTGGGAAGGGACCAGTGCATGACGGGGGGCCACATCAGACTTCAGGCACAAAGGCCACTGGAGCTGCACAATCAGGGATGGCAATCAGCCCCTCTGTGCAGATCCCTTTTCCAAAGGTTTGATTCTGAAGTCCAGGTCGGCCCCCTGGCGGGACAATGTCACACAGCCCGCTGGAGCCTCTGGCCAGGCTCCCTCTGTTCAGGTTACCTAGCAACCACACCCACCAAAAGAGCATCCCTCAGCAGGAGACCCTGAGCACTCCGCCCCCTGCTCCCTCCCACTTTGTCAGCTGCGCCATCGTCTCTGAGCCGCAGCTCATTACCTTTGGTAACGCACCAGCCGTCCCAACAAAGAGACAGAGGAAGAACCTGAAAGAGTGAGAGAGAGGAGATGAGATTCCTGGGCCTCAGATTGGGAGTCTGGGACTCTGAACATCCAGAGGCCTAGTCAAGAGCTTCCCACATAGCTTCCAGAAGCCGACTTGAGGCCAGGTGTCCTTCACAGGCTATCTACCTCACAGATCAGTACTAGGGTCTGTAACAGGAACTGCTGCCTCTGTCATGGGGCAGTATTTCCATACGGGGGAGACACACAGACATGTCAGAGAATCCAGTAAAGTAATACACTACAAGGATGGGCTCATCACAGCCCAGGTCACACTCAGTGGCCTCAGCCCAGCAGGAGACAACTCACTTCTTGGCTTTGGTGCTGTTGGGATAATCCACCACCATTCCTCCCGTGAACCCTGCCTTCATGGCCTGCGCAGTGATGAGCTCCAGCTGGAAGAGAGAGAGAGAGAAAATGCTGTCAGGAACTGTTCGGCCATCTCCTGCCTGCCCATGGCTCCTCGAGGCCCCGGCTCTTCACCAGTACCAGTGAACAGACCTCTGGGAAATCTTGCAATCCAAATGCTCAACCCTGTTCTGCTGGGCCCTTAAAGCAGCCCATCTTCACACACCCACCTCAGCTCCCAACACCCCCTGGAAAAACAGCCAAGTTTTGAGCAGGGCTTCTCTGCCTCATCCATCCCTGCATCCCCTCTCCCCGTCAGCCAAAGTCACCTGTTCTGAGTTTTCAGGGTACAACTGCAGGATGGCTCGGGATCCTCGTGCCTAAAGGAAACAAAAATGATTATAAACCCCTGTTCTAGACCAGGCTTTCCCCCCTGCACACAGTCTCCCAGCCCAACATGGCATAATCAGAATTGGGAGTTCTTGTTAATGGTTCATGGACATTACTACCCACTACAGCCAGAATAGCCTGCTGGGGAACGTCACCTGAAAGAGGACATCCTTTCCCTTGACATTCTGGGAGAAGGAAGGGGCGGCTGGCTGGCTGAGAAGGCACCACTTACCAAAACAGAATAAAGGGTTAAGAAAACTAACAGCTCCAGGGTAACTGCACCTGTTTCCCCCCTGAGATCCATCAAGGGCACCCAAAAGCTTCTAGCTCTCTCGGGCAGAGACCCCCGTCTCTCTCCCTCAGCCGGGTTTTTCCAAGCTGCACAGTTCACTGCCTACACCAGGAGTAGGCAACCTATGGCATGCGTGCCAAAGGCGGCACACAAGCTGATTTTCAGTGGCACTCACACTGCCCGGGTCCTGGCCACCGGTCTGGGGGGGCTCTGCATTTTAATTTAATTTTAAATGAAGCTTCTTAAACATTTTAAAAACCTTATTTACTTTACATACAACAATAGT